CCGAGTTCGTTCCCGCTGACATCGTTCCACGCATGCGCCAGACAATTCTCGAGGGCGCATGACGAGCAAATCACTCCGGGCTTGGTCTTGCCATCGTGAATCACGTCGCGTTCGCGCACTCGCTGGCCCCCCATCACCATGGCCCCAAGCACGTCGTTAACATGGTGGGTTCAGGCCTGCATCCGCGTCAGGGGTGGGCCCTGACTCCATGTCGCACTCTGCGCGCCCAATCCACTCGCCTCCGATGGGGCCGTTAGAGCTGTTCCTCGCCCCCCCCCCCCCCCCCCCTGCACTCCTTCGCCCCGCTTGTCGTCGCGCCCCTATGTCTCGCCTCTTGCGTTCGTGGCACACATGGCGCGTTTACTTCTGAATCTGCCCCAGTCCACGCCCCCCCCCCCCCCCCCCCCCCCCCCCCCCCCTGCACCCCGCCCCCCCCCCCCCCCCCACCCCCCCCGCACTGCGGGGCAATGAAGGCAGCGCCCTGGCGCGCGGTGATGGCGCAACATTGCCTCAGCTCGTTTTCCGACTGCCTTGTAAGTCCACTCTCGCCCCCCGTGGCGGGGGCGCGTTAAGTCAGAGCGTTTGCTCTGGTCCTTCCCGACGGGCCCCCTCGCGGTCGGCGACTCCTGGGCCCCTGTCGAACGCGGCCCGCCCTTTCCCCCCCGCGGACGCCTGGCCGCCCCGACTTCAAATCCAGCTCATCTTTCTCTGCCGCGATTCCCCTGGCGATCGACGGTTGACTTCCACGTCGGCGCGTTCCGTCGCTGGCGATGGCGCCGCGATAGTGGGCTGAACTTCCAGGCTGGCGGCGCCGGGGCGAAGTTGCCAGGGCAGCCCCTTTCATCTCGGCGCGCTCGTCAAGACTCCGCGCGTTCCCCGCCGCCCCCTATGCGTCGAATTTCTCGATCCTGAACGGCCCGCGATGGGGTGCCACTAGCGATGTGTCTTGATTTATGTCACGCGTGCCCAGGCGAAGCAGCCCCCCACTCTGATTCCACCGTCCATCGCACTTTGCGGGGGGGGGGGGGGGGGGGCGGGGAGCGCGGCGCACTCGCGAAATTCAAATGATGTCAAATTAAAAATTCGGCCCCGACATCTGTCGCGCGCCGTCTCGCCGTCGATGCCGACCGCGGACGCGAAGATCAAAGATGACGCATGTCTGCCACAATCCAAGCCATAGCCGCATGGCACTCGCCGGACTCCGCCTCGCAGTGGGCGCGCGCGCTCCGCGAAGTTCCGGCGGGGCCCTGCGCGGCACGGGCAGCGCGCTCAACGTCGCCATTGGCGTGGGAACCACCGACTGCGCTCACTTCCACACCCATCCCTGAGGCTCTGGAGGCCCCAGCGGCGTCTTCGAGAGCTGGAATTGCCCATTCTCCATCGCATTCGAGCATCGCCTTCCCGTGCCCAGCGCAGCCGGCTGCTCTCGCCGCGCAGGGGGCCACCCCCTTCTGTAGCACCGCGCGGCCCCATGTCAACTCGGCGTCTCTACAACGCAGCACGCCTGTCCTTCCCTTGAGCCCCATGCAGTGCATGGATACAACCGGCGGCTTCCCCCTGCCTCCGCCGCCCCCCACAGCGGCTTCGCCTCCTGACATTTCCTCTGACGCAGCGGGGGTGCCAGCTGCGATGGGGCAAACGCGTGGCGCTATGATTGCGCGCTTCTTCTGCGCATGGTCGCGATGCGCTGCAGCGGTCTCGGACAACCCGGCCTCGCCGCTAATGAGCGCGCCCTCTGCGTCAGTTCGCTGCCCCCAATTTCGCCGTTTTTCACCAGCATTGCTTGCGCGCGCTCCGTCTGCGCCATTGAGCCCCGCGGGCGGCGGGCCGTCGAGCTGGCTAAATCAACCGCGAAGACCCCCGGCCTCGGAAAATCCTCGGGCGCCTGTTCCAGCGAAGCTCCATGCACTTTCGCGGCGTCCGCCCCGTCGCCATTCGGAGCCTCTATCGCAGACTGAAACATGCCTTTCGCTGGTCGACGTCATCTCGCCGCTGGCTCCGCGTTTGATGCAACTGCTCAGCCTGCCATGGCCATCGCTGCCAAGCGCTATCTGGCCACTAATTTCCACCGCCTAACGCGCCGACCCCGTGACCTTGTAACGTCGGCCACTTGAACAGGCATGCTTACGTCATTTCCACTCTCGCATCGAGCGCCAATTACTCGCTGCCCGTAGCTTCTGATCCCAGACCCGTTTGCTGCGCTGCAATGCGCGCCGTCCGTGAACGCACTAGCGCGCTGAACGGGAAAGCGAATGCCCGCCATGCCTGGGGGGTCCAACGGCGTGGCGCGCGCCGGAGTCCACGGCGACGATGATCGTCTCAGTCTTTTCGCCACTCTGCGGCACCGCGCTGACCTCCTGCGCGCTGCCGCGGGCTTCCACGAGCCCCACAAATCGACCCTTCGGTAACCAACTGTGGCTACCATGCTTGAACTATCGGTTAGCCGACGGATCCCCGCGGTCGCAGCCTGGGCTCGCGTCGATGCTGTAGGTGGCACTCGCGCACACCCAGTGCCTCGACGCCGTTGATCATATTTCTCGCATGCCTTTGTTTTCTCCATTCCTCAGGCGGTTCACCGATGGTTAGCTGATCGCAGAGCTAACCGCTGTTTCCAATCGAGCGCCCTCGCTCGCTAACCCCACGCTAGCGCGCTCCTGCAGTTCTCCGAGCATGGTGGGCTTTGCATTCATCTGGCTACCCAGCTCCACTTCGTTGGCCGACCTCCGGCAGTCAACGGCAGCGCACCCTCTGCTTCTATATTTGTAGCGCTCGCGATCGGCAGGCTGAACAAGCCCTTTGCCACCGGAGCTGTCGCGCCCTCGGCTTCGATCGTTGCCGCCGCATCTCCCCGCGAGGTGGTTGCCCCAAGGTTCGGCGACGCCCCTCGACTTCTGCCCCATCTGCTTTCATTGCATCCGCCATTTAAACTCTCGGGCATCCGACGGTCCGAGCTGGGTGCCCAGGCCCGCCGCAATTACTAACGCGTGGCACCGTGTCCTCTGCCTCCAGCGACCGCGTCCAAATCGTCGTTCTCGCCCTCGGTCTCACGTTGCCAGCTGCCGTCGCTGAACTACCAGTTGCCGCCGCCATCGACCCATCATCCTCGAGCAGCCCAGCCACATGCGTTATAATTCGCGCGGTACCTGGGATGTCGGGGCCAGCCTCAATAAACCCAACGCCCAGGGCAACGTTGTTTTTCGCGCCCGCCTCCAACTGCTCCCTTTTCCGGCCCCCGGTCTTCGCGTTTAGCGTAGGGCTTCTGGCAAGTGTCTGCGATTAGGTTATGAGGCGTGGAGCAACGCCGTCGTTGCCATTCATCAAACCAATCAATTGCACGAAGCATGGTCGCGCGGAGGCGCGAACTCTGAAGGGCTGAGGCACCGCGCACGCACCTCCATGATGTCCAATGCCTGCATCGAAACACAAGATTCTTCTAGTTTGCCCAACAGTTCTTTACCGCCCTCGGGCTGTGCAGGGTCCATTGCCCAAAACATTGTTTGCGCCAGCATAACTCCTGCAACCGATGCATGATGCGTGTAGTTAAAATACTCGGACGGACACGCGGCAAGTCCATCTCAATGTTTTGATCCCTTGAGTTTGCCGCGCGCGTCGGGCCCCTCGATTGTTTCGTGAAAGGCGCACCAGAGATCGTCATCGAGATCGTTTGTATCATCGTCGGTACACCCAAACTCTCCTAACTTATCATGTTGCAGCTGTCTGGCTGCGCTGACCTTCTGGCATTGGGCTTGCGAGAATCGCCCATATATCATTTGCAACAAAACCTCCGAGTCTTCATGTGGAGTGTCTCCGCCCATGTTTTCGATTGCTGTTGAGGGGCTTACCTGCTCAGTGGTAGGCAAGCCGCACTTGTGCCATGGCATTGGCTAACTTTCCGCCCCACCATCTAGATTTAGCCGTGTCACTGGTAGAGGCGGCTTTGGAGCTTATTGTTGCCGCTCCCTCCTCTTCATCTGCCCTTTGTGCAGGGAATCGCTTAACTTCAATGCGCGTTCGTGTTCGCCACTATGCTCGCGACAAGTCGGTAAAGGCTGCGCGTCTCTCTGTTCGCCACGGCGTTTGGAGTGACGGCACGCATCAGCATAGCATTTTTCTGCTGCTGCATCTGGAGCATATCGACTGCAGGGTAACCTTCTTGGTGTACGTGGTTGGTGGCTGTACGGTCGTTACTGAATCCCTGATTCCTTCATGTGTGACACGCGACGCCGTTCCCACCAACTGTTGACGACACATACACGCGCATGTTCATGAAAATGTGGGCATCCATTTGATTCCAAGTTTCTCGATCCGCGGGAACACGGAGTTCACTGGGTGGGTCCAGCGGGCCTAGGGTAAAAGCAGCTTATCCAACGAGTGCCATTGCAAACGACGCCTTACTACCACCCAACATATCCATAATGATTCATAGTAGTACCGCGCGCCTGTTTCACACCACGCTCGGATGAATCAGACGCCCAAGCGTTAAAACCCCGAGCCACATGTTTGCGATAATGCACCAACTATCATTCACACTGCTTCCTCACTTGCCACTGCATGCTTTCTTCCTCCTCCTCCTCCTCCTCCTCCTCCTCCTCCTCCTCCTCCTCCTCCTCCTCCTCCCCCCTGCCGACTCTCCCCGTCCTGTGTGGTCCCATCCCCTCTCCTTGTCCTCACCCTGTTCGTCCACCTCGCAACAACAACAGCGACGACGACGCCAACGACGACGATTTCATGATCCCCCTCTTCTCTTCCTCCTCCTCCTCATCCTCCCCCCCCCCCCGTGCTCCTCATCATCCCTCCGACGACGACACCACCGAACACCCGAGACGAACACGATGACGAAGACAACGACGGCGACGACGACGACGCCGCCGACGACGACGATTACGACGACGACGACGATTACGACGACGAAAAAGATGACGACGACGGACCAACGATGGACCGAAGACGACGACGACAACGGGGACGGCGAGGATGACGACGAAGGCGAGATCGTCGTCCTCCAGCCCTGGAGGAGAGCTCGTGAGCGCGGAACACACCAAGCGCCCCAGGAGCGCCGTGTCCGCGGACAGGTCCTCTCTTGGCACAGCCGCATTCGTCGTCGTCGTCGTGGGCGGCAACCCGCGTCTCTCCGCGTCCGCGTTAGCGCGGGATCACAAAGATTTTGTTCGCCCGGGTCTCTACCTCCTGTTCCGCAGCCGTTGTTGGGTCTCAGCTTGGATCCACCACGGATAAAAGCACGACTGAGCTGCATCTAGCACTTGAGAACAAGTCCTATTCAAAGGGGGGAAGGGGACGAAGGGAGGTAAGGAGGAACATAGTCAGACAGGGAGAAGCAAACAGGAAAGGAGGAGGAGGAGATCGTCCCCCTTTTTCCTCCTCCTCCTCTTCTTCCCCCTGTGGCCCCTTTTCCTCCTCCTCCTCTTCCTGTTCGTGTCCGGCACTCTTCCCAGTCCAGGAAGCTTCCCGCGTCGCTAAACTGCACGATGTTGTATCCCCCATGCGCGCGTGGCCTAGGAACGGCAGCGCGAAGACTCGGGGTCGGATTTCGTGGACACCTGCGAACACAACTGAAGGAGCTGGAAGATTTGCCAGTGTAGCCCGATCAGATCCTTCAAACCCTCCGCGTCCTCCGCATCTTTCTCTCGTTCCCCCCTGTCGCCACCGCCAATGTGGAGGACTTCATTTACACGTAGCTCGCAACTCAGACCCTGTGTTTCAAATGCTGCCGTCCCGTGAAGCAGGTCGACCATGCCAATGCTTGGCCTGAAGCGATGTCTGGATTTTGCGCGCTTCAACCCGCAAGTGGCCCCTGGGCCAGAACGCGCGCCGAAGAGCGAACAAGTGAAGGGCACCATGCGCAAAAAGGTGGAATGGGAGGCCTCTTGAAATCTGCACCACGGCGGCGAAGGCCCGTTGCGCCCTCTGCGTCAAAAAAAAGGCGGGGGCGAGGCATGACAACGCGATTGGATCAACACCCTGATAATGTTGGCCACCGTGGACCACAAACAGTGCACTTCAGCAATATATGTTGTAAAATCGATGCTGCGCCGTATAGGTGGTGCAAAATGTGTGGGGGCAGTAGATGCTGTGCAGTAGCAGCGTGTGTTGTGCCATCCATACTGTGAATTTTGTTGTGTTCAGTGTGGGTTGCGCCATCTATGTGGTGCAGCATGGTGTGCGCCATCTACGTTGCGCACTATAGGTTGTGCAACAGCTGGGTGCAGTCTAGATCGTGCAATTCACCCTGCCGAACTTGAAGCTGTCAACACCACTACTCGCGGAACCATCTCACCCACCCACCCACAATTTGGCTTGCAGTACCCGTGCGGCGGCGATTGCGATGAGTGCTTGGTGTTGATTGGTGCATCTCTCCGGCCGCGTAACCCGCACACGCTCGCCCGCTCAGCGGCCAACTAGTTTGGCGCAACCGACGCAACCGCGGTGGCGCTGACCGCTGGGCAGTTTCCAACGGGCACCCAAATGCGAGTCGGCGACTTGGGCAGGCACGGTATCGTGGCAAACTCGACAACGGTGGATTTGGTGATAATAGAAACGAAGCAGATGACGATGGTGAAATCAACACCGGCAAGGCAATTGACGGCGCCGATGCTGATCACGCCGGCGACGATGGCGGGCGCCCTCGCGGCGGTGGTGCAGGTTCCGGAAGTAGTTCGACACGCGCGCGCGGCCAGCGCACAAATGGCCCGCACTGCATTAAACACGACTCGGGCGCCCGCAGCACGCGCGCAAAGGCGTTCGAACGATTCCGACATGCAGCGCGGGAGGCCCGTTTGGCCGAATTGAATGGACGTGTCGAATGAAGAGAAAAAAAAACATTGTTGTCTTAAGAGGTCGCAGGAGCGCTAACGCAAGCTTTTTTGGGAAAGCTGATGTTGCAAAACCGTATGATGAAACATGTGCTAGGTTTTTTGTTCGAAACACTCGATTGTGCAATCCATACCACACTGACAGTATTTCGAAGATTTCGACATGGGCGCGCGACGACGCGCGCGCGCATCTCGTCCCACTATGTTGCGAAGGATTGTTGCGACAGCACGCGCCCAAGGGCGTTCGAGCGATTCTGATACGCGCGCGCGAAAGGGGCCATGTGGTAGCATGGTGTGATCATGCTGACAAATCTATGTTGTCAGAATTCGCACGAGCGCATCGCGTTGCGAAACACGATGCGCCCCACATCGTAAGTAGGTTTTCTGTTTCCCCTGCGCACTCCCCGCGCAAGGTCTCGGCCTCCTTCCCTTCCTCACCACTCACTCACCCACCCAAGCAGTCACATCACCATCAACACCATCATCACCATCAGCATCGTCATCCTCCTCATTACCACATCACCACCACTTACAAACTCATTCGCGATATTTCGGCAACTTTCTTTCACTCAGAATTTACTCATGTACGATCCTACTCACTTGACCATGCACAACGACCACGGTTGCGTTCGCCATCGCCCCCCCCCCCCGTCTACCTTCGCAGAGAACAACAGGCGCGCAAGTGCAATGCGCACATAAACGCATATAAATATATGTATATACATATAGACGTATGTGTGTTATGTGTGTACATGCACATATGTGGTGACAGCGTATGCGGCGCAAAATGCGCGCTTGCGCGGCACCCCCTCGGCACCGAGATCCCTTCTTTGATCCCAGAGGGCTGCGGTTTTGCGCCCCCCCCCCCCCCCCCCCCCCCCCCCCCCCCCTCCCCGCGCACACGCACACGCACACAACACACACACACACACACACACACACACACACACACACACACACACACACACACACACACACACACACACGCATCCCTGAACTATCTTCATAGCTCTGGCACGCCTCCTCGCAGCGTCTTTGCGGAGCGAGGCGCGGTGCCCCCCGCGGAGCCTCCCGCTGGGAGCGGCCTCTCACAGGTCGTTGGGCACCCTCAGGTGCTGGCGCTCGCAGCCGACGTCGTAGTAGCCGGCCCGACCAGCTCGTCGATGGTCAACCTCGGAGCCTGGTTGGCCCTGGATGACCCCGCCGCCGCCCTCGCCAGCCCGTTGGCAAGGCTCGCCGTCAGGCCTGTCGCGCCGAGGCCACGCGCCCGCAGCGCTGCCCGCAGCTCGTCCACCTTGTTGCGCATCAGCTCGTCTCTAACGGCTCTCTGCGCGCCGCTGAGTGGACCTCCGTGGAGCTCCTCATACTGACGCTTCACGATCCTCGACTCGACCTGTCGTCGCTGCCGAGGTCCTTCGTTCGTGATCGGTACGGAGCCTCCCGCTGCCGATCCCTTGTCCGCGCCCTGTGAGGCTGGGGGCGGTGCTTCTCGCTCTCGCCCGCCCTGCGCGCTGTCGCCTCGCCCGTCGTCGGTGCCTTCAATCACCTCGCCGCCCACGGCGTCGGGCTGACGCTCCCTGGAGCGTCTCCTGGCGAGGTGGCGCGCCGCTACCGTGGCCCCCAGCATGTACACCAGCATTAACATGAACAGCGGCATGACGATGCCTATCGTGCTGCCGTCAGACCGGCCTTCTCCCGCGGCCGCGGTGTCCCCCGCTACGCCACGCACACACGCTGCTGCTTAGACTACCTTCAGCATAGCCGCCGTGGACTCGCCCACATGGCCAGCCGTGCGCTCTCTTGTCGCTAGCCACATGAGCTTCAGCAAGACCCGTCTGATCGGTTCACCGCCGTGTCCAACTTGATCACCTCCAGATCCTTCGTCCGCATGCGCTCTGTATCCACAGGTCCTGGATGCGGAGATGCCGCGCTCGGCCTGGCCCCGCTCGGTGGGCCATCCCCTTCGCGGCCGAGCTGTCCGCATCAGCAACTCCCTGCGCGTGGTCCCCGCACAGCGCGAGGATCTGCCGCAAGAGGATAGCGGAGGCACCCGCCTCGTTGACAGCCAGGAGCTCTGCCACCCTGCTCGACGTCGCCACGTAGCCCTGCGTCGACGTCGTCACCTCCAGGCAGCGGTCGCCAAACCGCTTCGCCGTGCACTGCGTGGGCTTCGCGTCATCCGCCCCTGCCCAGGTCGCCATCGCCCCCGAGGTCCGCTGTGACTGGCAGGTCCTGCAACGGGCAGTGCCACTCCGTCACTGGGCACCCCGCCAGGTCCCGCGCAGCACGCTTGAGCCTGACCGCAGCGAGGGACGTAGGCTTCGACGCTTCGCCATGATCATCTTCGCCGCGTACCGCAGGTCCTGGGACAGGTAGGTCAGCACTCTGCCTGCCTTGGGACCCAATCTCTTGAGCCGCTCGTCCACGACCGCCTCCTTGGGCCCAGAGCCCCCCGTGGCCTTCGAGCCTGGGCTCGTCTGAGGCTTCGTCGTGCCAGCTGGCAGGTCCAAGAGCTCGAGCAGGTTGCCCACGTGCAAGTCATCTGCTCTCCACACGAAGCGAGGAGACGGAGCCCCCCGCCACTCGATGCGTCGCTTGAGCAGCCTGCCGCGGCCACCGCCGGTGGCACCTGGCCCCGCTCGACCCAGCTTCTTGGTCTCGATGTGCTCCTCCAGCAACGCGTCGAGCACGCCCAGCTTCGCCGAGGTGCCCCCTGCCGAAGTCGCCACCGTGCACGCCCGGCGCGATGTCCCACGTCTCGTTGTAGAAGGCGCCAGTGCACGGCGTGATCCGAACCCGCGGTGGCTGACTCTTCTCGAAAACGTCGCCGACGCACGCCTGCCGCGACCTCGACGCAGGCCTTCTACCGCGGAGCGCCTCGTGGAGCTGCCAGACCCGCCCAGGTCTTCGCAGCCCAAGCGGTGGCATCACGCACAAACTCCTGTCCATGTCCGCGCTGAAGAACGCCATGCTGGCATCGCACAGAGCCACTCGCCTCTGCCCCGACGGGGGCTTCCAGGCAGCCAGAGACACCACCAAGCGCAAGTAGAAGAGGTGCGGCGCACCAGCCGCCGCATCTTCGCGCTCGAAGAGGTTGAAGTCCATTGGCCGCGAGTCTCGACCGTACGAACGGTGCTCCGTCTGGGCTGCATCGGAGTCAATCGAGCCACTTGCCCCGCATGCCCCCACCGACGCTCGAGTCGTCGGACGCTTCCTCGGTTGAGCTCCTGCTGGCGCCCCTGCAC